CTACAAGTGGATCATCAATAACATGGTTGTGAGGTCACTTTCTTCAAGCTCATCCCAATTCTTTTGATGTAGTTGTGTGGTGTTACCTTTTTCTCCGTATTCTAGATTTGTTGACTCTGTGCATCTGGATACTCTGCAGCAGTATTCTTTCTGGGTTTTTTTGTTTGGTTTTTGTTTGAAAAATCAAAAGAAAAGCTTTGGAAAAACTACTAGTGCTTCTTGCCTATCTGCATTTTAAACTTGTCGGTATTTGGTTAAAGCCTCACTGACTGGATACATAGACCTACTGAAAAGATGATTGTTGAATAAAGAGTGACTTTTGGTCTTAAAACAGTTCCCTGCCTGGGCAATTTCTTTCTCAAGGCTTTCCACTGAGCACGTACAGCTCTGTTGAAGACTGGTAGCTGTATTTTCTACTGTGACTGCCTGTGTTTACTCCTTGTAGCCTGGCTTTCTAAGGAGACGAGGTCTTTTAGGGACTTCTCCCTTAATTTAGCAACCCATTAGATCATTTCAAACAGCTTGACAGAGAGTCTGAGTTTCAAAGGCAATACATTTTCTACAAGTCTTATTAAAATAGCCATCCACATAAAATATGTCTCCTACTTAGCACAATACTGTGGCTTGACTTTCCCCTTACTCCAAAAGATATCTTAAAGTTTGTAACTTGTGTGTGTTCCTAATGACAAAAGTTAATGAACCTCTAGACACAAATGTGTAGGAAATCAGACCTGATTGCTCTATTTTATCTACTTTTGTTGGTAACAGAGGGCTTTCATTGAGTTGAAAGCAGGGATGGAGGAAGAGACAGCATCTCCATGAATCTTAATCAATACTGACACATAAGTAGTGCATAGATACATTTTCACTTTGCACAAATATGTTATAGAATAGTGTTAAACCAAAAATCTGTGGTTATTGGAGTTGTGGGAAAAATAGAGGATTCTGGACTAAAATGCAAAGGTAAAGGACTAATATTGGTAATCTTTTGATTTAGATGATACTGCTGTCTTTAAAATATGATTATAATACAGCTGGACATACCAATCATAGTTTTAATCTGGTTAGTATAGTTAAAAGTAATAACGAAATGTGCTGACAAAGAGTTCCATGGTATCTGTGCAAATGTCCTTGAACCTTGCCGGTATACGAGGCTTGCTGGCCTATACTGAAGTCGATGCTACCACGTTCACACTAGTTATGTCAGCCTCCCTGGACAACTGGAATTCCATTTTATAAGTAGATGCCTCCTAACTCAAATTATTAGATTTGAAGTAGTTGACAGCATGTGGCACCAGGGGGAGTAAGTAGGCTGTATTTTTGAAGTGCCAGTTATTAGGACCTCACTTCATAAGTGTTTTTAACAGGTGATTTCCTCAGGGTTTAGAGATATTGCCCTCTAACAAAATTTCAAATAGGTTTCATAAATCACATTAAAAAATAAAATAAATAGAACAACTAAATTTCATAAGTAAAACACATAAGGAACATGTCATGTACTGTCCTGTGTAAAGGGTTGTAGTGTTTTCTTGAAGTATTTCTGCATCAAAAACTTCAGGCAAAGCAAAAATATGAATTCTGTGTGAATTCATATGTCATCCTGAGCAAGGCCTGTTCTCATTTCATGAAAAAGTAACAATATATACTGTAGCTTCACTGTATGTACTATCAAAACAAGCAGCATTGTTAAAAATAAAAATTTTTACCTCATATTCCTTTAAAGACAGTTAGCAAAGGATACCTAACTTACTATGGTTTCTATAGACTACTGAGGTTAAGATTAATGTCTTGCAGTATATATATGAAAATTGTGTGATTTTATTCAGCATTTATATTTTCATCTAAACTTTCTCAGTCCCTCTGGTCTCTTTCAGTATTCAGTACCCCCCCGCGCCCCCCATCCCCCCTTTTTATTGTACCAGTACTAATCATCTTAAGTTAATGACTTAGATCCAAAAGCACTACTGTAAGTGGCAGCATTTTATACTGAAAGAGATATTACTGACATCCCTGCATGTTTTGGTTCTGTAAAAGCTTCCAGTGTCTGGTCAGTATTACAGTGGGTATTGCCAGCCTGTCACCTGAGACAGAAATTGTTTGTTAGAGGGTAGTTTTGATTCTCATGTGTGCTGTTCCATAATTAATTAGAACTAGCTAATCTGTTTATAAATACTTATCTGGATATTGAACAAAATTACAAATTCAAGGTGTATGGGTAATGAGTGGGGTAACACTTTTTTAAAAACAGGCTGAAAACTATCAGTTTCATCTCTCCATAAATATTGAGAACAAAATTGAAATTTTTTGTGTGCTGTGAACCAAAGCTTTAGTCAATTGTTAGTTCAATGACAAGTCTAATATAGTTTGTCTCATATAATGTAAGCGGAGGGATGGAGAACTTTGCACACTTAGTGTTTAAAAAATAGAGCAAGACGACTGTAACCACTTTGATCATTGTACTGTCTTTTCTTTGCCATGGTTCCTCTGATCTTGTGCAAAGTCATGTTTGTAACACCTGAGTCACAGGAAGTCTGAAGGGTGGAAAGATCAACAGTGGCTAAAGCTACTATCTCTTACAGCAGGGAAAAATAGGACCTATGGTAAGGGCCAAAAAAAGTCTCTGAGGAAAAGACAGTCAGGGCAGATTAGCCAGAATTGTCATCATTGAATCACAGATGAATGGCATCAGAAAAGCACGGAAATGACCCTGGAATATATAGGAAATACCAAAACTTAGTCTCCCATCTCCTAACTGAAGGTGGTTATGATTGGCAGGCAGCTGCCGTAGGGCTGCAACTATGTCATTCATCCTTGCGGATCATAACACCTACTGACGTAAGCATTTTTAATTGTCTGACTTTTGGAAACAGTGTTAATGTCTACCAGGTGCAACAGAGATGTCATGAAAAAACTGGTTTACTTCTACGTCTGTGACACAGAGTTGGAATCCCTATAGAAGACCTTGGGAAATAGAATGGTACTGCTTATCGCAGCCTTTGGTAAAACAGTCTGCAGAAAGTCTTTTACATGTATTTATAAGCATGTATTTAGCTGCATAACATATGAATGATCAAGCAGCCCAGCATTGGTTCCCAACTTGTGCTTAGACTGCTGACATCCTTCCCCGCCAATTCTGCAAGCAGCATAACTTCAGTAAATTTGATCTGTCATTGTAGCAAGCCAACATAGTTAATTCAATGTTCAGAGGACAGCTGCAGACAGAAATAAAACAATATTTGTCCAGCTGAATCTAGTGCAGCTTGAAATTACTGTGCATGTAAGTACTAGTAAGGAATTAAATAAGGGCTTCTTAAAAAATCACATTAGGTAAAATTGTTGTAATACAAAGTACATACTGAAGGAAGTAGAGAGAGATAAAGAACTGTTTCTCAGAATCCTCTTCCCGACTTAGGGGAAAGGGACGAGTACAGAAATCAAAGTGAACAAAAAGTAAAATGTAGTATTGGATTCATTTAGCACTGAAATGCTTCTCAATGTAGAATATGAAGATGTTTTCATTGCAGCGCACAATCCTTCAAGAATTAATTTAATCATATTTACCAATTTCTTATTACTTTAAATATAATTAACAAGCTTCATAGTACTGAGCAGAAGTTTGGTGTTGCCAGAGTGAGAAACAAAAGCAACAGAAATAGCGTTCAGGTAGGTATTTTCATTGCCAGTTTTCAAGAGGTGTGAAGGGAGGGAAATTTAAATGTGCATTTGGAAGATTCTTTAAAGATTGTGCCACTAAGTTAAACCTCAGCAGGCCTAACTGGCACGTGTGGTGCAACTGCACTGCTTGGGCTATCCATTCTGCCTCACACAGAACTGGATAGGTGGATCTGTGTGGCACTTCTTCCTTCCAAGTGCTGTACATGCTGTGATACACCGCTGATCCTATGGCAGTGCATGATAAGGCAGGTAGAAAAGCAGTTCAGTGCTACTTAACCTGCACTTCCTCCAGGTTGCTAATTTTTAAATTTGTGTAAAGATATGCAAGAGTCGTAATATAACATTATTTAATAAAACAATGAATGTGAAAGGAGTTGTTTAATATCCTACTTTACTAATGCTGTTCTTTGACTTTTCAAAGGGAAGTCACTCCACCAAAGTGGAAGCTGTGGTCCGAACACTGAAGAGAATTCAATTTAAAGATCCAGGGGCTAAATCCTTAGTTTTTTCAACGGTATTAATCACCATTTTCTGTCTTGTCTTTGTGTGTGTGTGTGTGTGAGAGTTTAAAGTGGTCACGATATTTTCAGGAATCAGTTTAGCTACCAAAATGTTGAATCACTCTGTACAGCCACTTGATTTTTTTGAGAATTTGTAGGGCAATTCATGTAACTGGGAAGTGAACAATGATTGTAGTCAACAGATGTAAAAGCTTGTTTCTTTAAAGGGCAAACACTTAGATATATATGGGAGCATTAGAAATTCTAGATATTTTTAAATGTACTGTCCAGATATTTTTGATACATTGTAAAACTGGTTTTGTGATGGCTACCAATTTCTTTTATTCAAGCTGATCTTTTTAATCTTTTTAATTACATTTTTTATTTAGTTTTATGAAAGATTTGGTTCCTGGCACACAAATCTTTTTTTTTTTTTTTTAATTGCAAATGCTAGTATTTTGAAAGGCCTTTTTATCTACTCTTTCTTAGGGAAGTTACTATATTTTAGTTGTCATTGTTGTTTGTAATGTTGACTTACTTTTATTGTGTTATGTATTTTTGTTGTTTTGTTTTGTTTTTTACAGTGGCAAGATGTGTTGGACATAATTTCAAAAGCATTGTATGACAACAACATGATTTTTTCCCAGATCAATGGAATTAGTAAATTTCAGGTATATAAAGGATATTTTTCTTAAAAGTATTTTCAGTGGGGAAAACTACAGTTCATGGAAGTTAATTTGATCCTTTTACTTCATGGCTTCATTTGAGAAGCTGAAAGAGCAGCAAATTTGTTTGGCAGAAGCTTTGATCTCTAACTCATTAATTCTAAAAATCACAGTCACAAAAAGCCACAATTTAAAGCATTTGGAGATAAACAGTACATTCACTTTTGAGAAAGAAGCATTGGCATGGATGTTAAGGATGAGACACACTGATCAATGTTGCAAGAAGTTCATGTCTTCCTGATATCTGTTGAATATCTGTTCTGGGATGAGAGGTGTCGGATCAGTCAGGCTGCAAGGCGGTCACTCTGGGGCCTGTAGTAGCTGCTATGATTTCTTGAAAATATAGAGATGTCCCCCACACTTTTTATTGAAGAACTTTTGTCATGCTGCTGTGACGTTTGCCTTTTAGGAAAATCTCTCTGCATTTAAATATGATCCCAACATCAATATTTTGCTGCTGCCTCTTCACACTGGTTCCAATGGCCTAAACATCATCGAAGCAACTCACGTTCTGCTTGTGGAACCCATTCTGAATCCTGCACATGAGCTACAGGCTATTGGCAGAGTACATCGTATTGGCCAAACAAAGTAAGAGTTAAAATTATGTTGAATGATTTAGATATGGTCCACAATAGAACTGCATACTGTAATCAGAATAATCTAGTTCACTGAACTTCTCAATTTTGGAGATGAGGGTATTCATAGGAATCCTATTTTTAAAGATGATCATGTAAGGGACAGAAAGATAAAAAAAGTTTGCTGAAATTACACAATGTGTATTCAAGGGAGTTCTTTTGTGCTACGAGGGTAAGGTGCAGAAGTAAATTGCATTTAGGCATTTAGGAAGAGTGTAGGCTCTTGAGTCCAAAATCCTGAAAAACCTTGTTCAGCTGCTGCCCTATTTTATGTGTGCCATTGATGCCTTAGTTTTTAACTGTGAAGTTCTACTTGTAGGCATGTCCCGAAATGTAGCTCTGCAGGTCTGAGCAACTCACCATATACGTCATATATGGCTAAGTTCAGCATGGCCCTTCCTAGTTTCCTTGAGAGGCTCCTTCTAGCTGGTTATTCCTAGCTCCAGATTAGGAGCTGCATAAGTTGGTGTGGGGTGGGGGGTGTGTTTGGGGTTTTTTTTGGGGGGATAGGTGGGGGGGAGGTTGGGGTTTTTTTGTGTGTTTGGTTGGTTGGTTGGTTTTTGGTTTTTTTTTTCCCAAAAAGTAAGTTATAGCACACGCTTTTTAAACTGATTAGTTTTTAAATCACAGTTCTGCCCTCACCCCTGTCTAGATATTTTTGAAGACATTAATAAGTTTGCATATCTTTTGTTTGTTTCAGTGTTGTAGATTTTGCATGGGTAGTACTGAACACTTAACAAAGGTTTTGGAAAGTTTGTTCTGAATAGATAAGATGTATATGTATTTCCTTAGGTTTCATGTCACTTGAAAAAATAATAAAAAACCCCTGTACACGAAGAAGAAAAATAGCTGGAATCAATTCTGGAATAATAATATTCTAGAATAATAGTGGGCTTTGTGTTCTGGAAATGGAGGCAAAGTGAGAGGGCATGAATGAGCATGTATGTGAAAGAATGTTTATGAACAGGTGGATATTTGGGTGTGTTGGTAAAGATTTTGAATTAACTATGAGGGCATAGGAAAGATTGATTGCAACAGCCTGCTTTATACTTTTACATGATGCTGGCACAAAAGGTCTGGCAAAAACCTTGCAATAAAACCAGCAAGAATGTGTGCTGTACTTCAGAGCAAGACTTCAGCAAGGTTTATTTGAAAAAGGGCTTCAAGTACAGTGAGCATAAGGCAATACTCTGTTTAGTTTCACTGGCGCACTATTACCAGTTCAGTTGTTCTTATTTACATCTCTCTTTTTTGGGTAGATCTTTGCCTATGAATCACAAAGTATTCCCCCAGCATTTCTCTGTATAATGTTACCTGCCAAAGTTTCAACTTAAGATCTGAAAACCATCCAAGCACTTTTCAAGGCTTCATATCTTGAAAAATGTTTATATTGGGGATCCTGGAGTGATTTTTTCATTTTTATGTTTGGAGCTGACTCTTTTCCATTTTTCTTTCTTATGCCTGACATTTCTTTTTTCTTTTTATTACAGATTTCTTTTTGAAATTTTATTTCATAAATGGAGTTCTCATTTTGTTTTATGTTTATTGACATTTTGGGTTTTTATGTTTTACCGGTCTTTATAATTTCATGTTTACTGACTACAATTACTGACTTTAAAAAAAAATATAATATTTTGCCATCTTATGGAATAATATTGTTAAAACTCTGGGAATGAGCTTTAATTATCCCTCACACTGAGCTCTATCTCTTGGACTGACTTGTGACAATGCAGTATAAACATTGTATATAACCAGTGGGCCAAAGTCATTTCTTTAAATGACAGGCTAGGCTCTTGAGGACTGTTTGTTTATAGTAGGGACACAGAAAGCAGAACTTTGCCCAGCAGCTGCTTTAGGATTTTAGTTAATACAGCTTATATTCATTTAGTATGTGATCCAGCCAAGTGGAATTGTGTGCTCTGGGAGGCACTAAGCATCCTTAAATGTCAGCCGAAGTTGTTAATCACCTTGTAAGGTTTCTTTCTTAAAATACAGAGGTGTGTTTTCAGCACTTTTACAATAATTAGTAGGAGATAAAAATGTGGTCTTGAACTTTGACAGCAACAGCGTAACTTCTGCTCACTTCTGGTCTTGTTTTCTTTTTTTTAAACACGTTCAGATCTACCATTGTTCATAGGTTCCTGATAAAAGCAACAATAGAAGAGAGAATGCAGACTATGCTGAAAACTGTAGATAGAAGGTATGTGTTGAATTTTTTTAAAACATCGCTATTGCACTGAAAATGAAAAGGTGGTTCTCAACCATGCTTTTATTACAGTTGGTATGCATATCTTACATATAAACTTCAACTGTTCTCCTTCAAATTGTTTTGATTGACAAAAGTTTTAAGACTTGAACGATTGATCTGTTAACCTGGTTCCAGTAACTTGAAGCTTAAGGTATTTTAATTCTCTGGAGAATATTTTGGTTACATTTTGTATATTTTATTTCATAAAAGCCCTATTAATTAATAAATGATGTGTTACGATTTATCTTTTCAGTTTACCTCTTTCCATTAGTATAAAAGCATTACAATTAATGGAGTAATACTAAGCCTGCCACTGGAGTAACAGCATATGTTATAAGCTCTAATATAGGACATTAATTCTTTCTTTCATTATTTTTAAATTCTACAAACCTAGGCTGTCTGTTCTGTGTCTCACTGGTTGGTTTTGCAGTCGGTGCAAGCATTGTCCAGATGCTAGCTCATAAGTCAGTCTGGTGTGCAGACACAGAAAGCAGTTTTCACTGTGTTTATCTTTTTAAAATCTATAAGCAATGACGGACTGGGAGTGGAACAAAAGTGGTATTTACATTCTTTATGCAGAAAGTATAAGAGGTTTGTACCTCTTTAACTATATTGTACACACATAACAAACCTAGGAGGAGGCCTTAGTTTAAGAAAATCAGTTATTTTTCCAGTTTTTTGGCTGTTACAAATTATGAGACTAAAAATTTACAGGTATATCTTTGGCTGCAGTTACGAAAGATTTCAGCTTTAGCTTTGAAAGAATGATTTAATCAATTTCCGTATCTATAAAGTACCACTACTTTTGCATATAAAATTCAGATAAATATACAGTGGTTGAATGATCCAATGAGAGCTAGTGTTTTGAATGTAGTATCAAACCTTATGCTTAGAAGCTGAAGCCAATCCCTTTAATGTTGAGAGGGCAAAGTGGATTATCCCATGTTCTGCCGCCTCTGCAGTGTTTGGTGTTGGCCACTGTCAGGGACAGTAGATGAACTTCATATCTTACTCAAATTGTGCAACAGAAGTAGCTGATCAGTGTATGTATTTTCCCTGATAGAAAGTGTATTTTCCTGCTG